TAAATGAAATGCAAAGAAGTTGTGACGGTAGAGTCTCTATTTCATGCTTTTGAATGGAGTGGCAGGGGAAATGATTGTCCTTTTTCAGGAATATAGTTTAGAAGTTCAGGGAGGAGAGAAACTGTTTATGGGATGAGCTTATGAATTGCCAAGTGAAGTGGGGTGACCATTGGGAGATTGGTGGGGATTTTAACATAATATTAAATTAGGGTGAGAGATCCGGGGAGAATATTAATCAAAGGGAAATTGAGGAGTTTGGTGAGTGGGTGGATGAGCTTGAGTTGGTGGATATCCCGTTCATAGGGGGAAAGTGGATGTGGTCTAGCAGTTTGGATAGGCTCTCGTGGTCAAGAATCGACTGGTTTTTGATTTCTAACGGTTTGCTTGCGCATCTTAGGGTTAAGCCAAAAGATTTTACAAAGATCTATTTCTGACCACTTTCTTATTTGCATTATCCCGGATGGTATCATATGGGGCCCGAGACCATTTAGGTTGGATAACAAATGGCTGAAATTGGAGGGCTTCAGGAAGCTGGTGGAGGATGTCTGGAGACTGAAAAATGAAAGAGGCACAGCCAGCTTCTTACTTGCTTCCAATTTGAAGAGGTTGAAGGTAGAGATTAAAAAATGGGTTAAGGAGGAGGAGGGCAGATCCGACAGAATACTCAATGACAATTTAGAGGAGTTGGATGAGTTGGGCTGTTTGGAGATGGATGATCTATTGGGCGAAGGGGATAGGGAGAGGAGAGGGGAATTAAAATTGGAAATTTACGCTAAGATGAATTTGGAGGCAATTTCTTGGAGGCAAAAGGATAGAGAGAGGTGGATTAAGGAGAGTGATAGAAATACAAAATATTTCCATAGTTTGGCAAACTTTAGGAAGAAGAACAACTTTGTTGAGGAGTTGGAGTTTGATGGGGATACTGTCAGGGGTAATGCTGTCTTGAAGGAGAAAGCTAAGGATTACTTTACTAAGCTTTATACAGAAGAGGAGGAAAGGAGACCGAGATTGGATGAGCTTCCTTTTAGGCAACTATCGGCTGGCAGCAAGGAGGGATTGGAGGTGCCGTTTATGGAGGAGGAAATTTTGGACTGTTTGAGGCAATGCAATGGTGACAAAGGCCCGAGACCAGACGGATTCCATATGAAGTTTTTTCAAGATTTTTGGGCTGTCATTAAATATGATATCATGGCTTTTTTTCATGATTTTCATAGAACTAGGGCTTTTGTCAAACCTATTAACGCAACTTTCTTGGTTATTATCCCAAAGATTGTTGGAGCTTGTAATATAAAAGATTTCAGACCGATTAGCCTGGTGGATAGTACTTATAAATTGATCTCTAACATTCTGGCTAAAAGAATGTCCAAGGTTTTAGGCGAGGTTTTATTTGGGAGAACCAATGCATTTGTGGAAGGAAGGCAAATCCTTGATGTTGTTATGGTGGCTAATGAGGTAGTTGATGATATGATGGGGCAGAAAAAAGAAGGTATCATTTGTAAAATTGATATGGAGAAGGCGTAAGATCACATTTGTTGGGATTTCGTTATTTATATGCTTGAGAGAATGGGTTTTGGGTGTAAATGGAGGAAATGAATAAAGAATCGTATCTCTACAACCTTTTTTGCTGTGATGGTGAAAGGTGGTCCTTCACTTTCTTCAGGCCACGAGGGGCCTTCGCCAAGGGGACCCACTGTC